AAGATCGTGATTGTATTGGCATGACCGTCCGGCGTTACACCCCTTTGCGGAACCCCAAAACTGACAGACTCGGCGATTGCTTTCAGGCTGGGCATCAGAAGGCTTGCCTTTAAGTCCTTTACCTTTACCTGCATCCTTGCCTCCTGTATTGTTCGCGCCCTTTCCTTTCCTGTGTTCTGGCTTCTCCTCCTTTCCTTCCTCCTCAGTGGCCTTGGCTCTCCTTACCCGCTGTCTCTTCTCTTCCTGAGAGAGCGCCTGAGCGCTCACCGCGAGCAGCTCCATCTCGGCATGAACCTGCCTCCTGAACTTTTCAACCTTCTCATGTGTTGGCACGTGATCTAAAGAGAGCTCAAGCTTCAGCACACTAAGCCTGAAAGCCAACTCCCTATAAGTGCTCGAACTCACGATTCCAGACACGATGCTCTCAACAGCCCTGAGCAGGAGTGAAGGATCGGGGAGGGAAACCTTGAGCTGCTCCGCACGCGATCTCCATCTTGAGTACTTCCTCAATTTCTCCAATGCTTCCGCCGGGTTCTGTGCAGTCCCTGGCTGAGTCAAGAAGTTCAACAGTGTCGCGCGCTCAGCAGTTCCTCCTGGCTGCCCTGCAACCATCACCCTATACAAAACATTCACCGAATTGAGAACCCTAGAAGCTAGGATGTCCTGTCTCAAGTTCTGTGGAAGCGAGGCCAACAGCATCGATGTTACTCGTTGCTCAAGCCGGGCATACTGCGGCTGGGAAAGCTCAGATCCTAAGGTTACTTCAATTTGTGCTCGGTGTAGCGGGGTAGCATTAAGCCACTGTGCATAGAAAGCTTCAGCCCTATCCTTAACCTTGACCCACCAAAGACCCGCTCCAGTACTAATGTCCCCAACTATAGGACCCACTAATGTTATCCAATCGCCCACTGCAATCGGTGCCTCATCAGTTCTCAGCTCCGAGAGCTGTGGAAGATCATGCCAGCGCTGCCATTGAGGCGAGTACCGAAGCTCCTGACGGCGGATTTCAGACGTTGGAGTTGGGGTTAAAGGTGGAGGCAACGGAGGCACCGGAGTACCACCTGGCGTGCGATCTACCCTAAACCCTATCTCTTGTCTCACCCCAAAGTCAGGTCCTAAACCACTAGGAGGCGGGGGTGGTACCGGGCTTGAGGAGGTATTAGGCACAACCGACTGCTCATCATGATGACGCGGGAAGGCTGTCTGATGTGACACCAGATAATTCGAATCCCTATCATAGCCCTGAGTGCTATACAATCCTGGAACCGACTGCTCAACAGGATACTGCGGATAAGGCATCGAAGGTACCTGGGGCAGAAATGAACCACCCGAACCAATGCCAAAACCCTGAGTGCATTGCATTCCTGGAAACGACTGCTCAACAGGATGGGGCGTAGGGATCGGAGCTACGTGGTGGAGTGGAGGACCAACTAACCCACTATAACCCTGAGTGCATTGCATTGCTGGAGCCGCTTGCTCAACATGATGTGACATCGAAGCTGGTCGGTACTGCGGAGGGCCACCTAAGCCTACAAACTCAACTAAACCCTTAGGCAACCCACTAAGGTCTTCAGGAATCTGCGGCGGCGTAAAGAAGCCTGATCCTCCTTGTACCGGCTCCGGCACACTCTGCTGCACTTGGTGAAGCTGCTGTGCGGGGCAAGTCCAACCGTGCCCTTCAACAGGAAGCGCTGGCCCCCGAATCCAGGAAGGCCCTGGGAGACTTGCCGAAGATTGAGGTGCTTGGGGCTGAACAGGAGGAGGAGGTGGTTGATTTAGCACGCTAGGAAGTAAAGTCCAAACTCCCTGTGCATTGAGGGCAAGCTGCCGGTAACCACCATCAACATACACCCATTTTCCAAGACCACCCACACTATTATCATTGTGTTCATTACTCACACTTGTTAACCCTGGGGGATCGCAGAAACTTGTCTGTACAACGGACGGGTTTCCATCCACATTTTCAGCATCTACTCCTACAGCTCTACCAGCACCACCTACCGCCGACTTCATCGACACTGAGGTTCCCGTATTCTGACCAGCAGCGGACTTCATTGACACCGAAGCTCCTGAGTTTCTTTCCGCCACTAGCGCATCTTCAAGGTCCTTGACCCGTTGCAGGAGCGCTGCAACGGTAGCCTGGCTAGGGTCCCTGACGTCAGAAGCTCTGCCTGCAGTAGAAGCTCTTTGCGAGAACATCTCCCCATCCAAACTCCTAACCTTTGTAGACTCCTGCTCGCGAAACGGAGTGTCACCCCCATCCGAACCAATCATGAAGTACTGAGCTCCTTGATGGTCCGGCTGTGTTGGTCCCGTCGGGGATTCCGTCACCTGAAGGGCATAGCTCCTGACTTCCACTTTCGTAGTCGTCTCACCACGCTCCAGGATCGACGCCTTGCCACTGGATCCCGGAGAGCTCGCTCCGAGACCCCGGTGCAAGAGTCTTGACTCACTTCTATCATCAAGTTTCCCAGCATTTTGCCCAGAAGATGCCATGGCTGGCTCAGAGAAGTCATACGGTGGATGCACGTCCACATCATCATCTCTCTCAGTAGTGCTAGGTAAGTCGCGCGGTCGGGACTGGTTCAACTGAAATTCTGCTGTAGCCTTTTCAGACCAAAAAGGATTTGGTAGAGGCTTCGAAGAGGCTGGGGCCTCACCATCAATCCCAGTCTGACTGTTGGCTGCTCCCGCTGCATCTTGGTCCTCGTACGAAGGCTCAAGCTCATCTCCTGATTCAAGTGGGACAGGTGTGTCAGCTGCCGTAGCACCGCCACTAAGCCCACCAGGAGGCACAGAGCTCGACTTTCTCCTTCTAGAAGCAAGAGTGTCCATGGCAACAGGGCACACGAAGGCTTGGGCTCATAACCCTCGAGTACGAGGGCCAGCCAACTGTTTTAGCAGCAGAAGCGAAAGCGAATAAGATCTAACTTGGTACACTTCTCGATTTAAAAAACGTCTTCTGTACGTGCCTGACTGTCTTCCTTGCTGCAGGGGCCATGCACCTGCGGAGTCAAGCGTGTCATCCTTGCAGCAGGGGCAGGGACATACACATCTGCGCCCTAAACCGTCAGGTACTAGTTTTTGACTCGCATCCGTAGGGTGCTAGCGTTCGAAGGGATTTTGGCGAGGGTTCAGGATCCGTGTGCAAGATGCCCTAAGTGTAATTCACCATAAGCTTGGGGGTCGGGGGTTGTCGGTTTAGGGTTTTAGGGTTTAGGGGGTAGGGGTTTTGGGCTACAGATGTTGTAGGGTCCTCGAGTTTAGTGAAACTTGATTTCAGCTACCCAGAGAACTCGTGAGGTTGGTGAGCGAGGGCTTGCTGTTGGTCCCTGGTTCATTGTTGTTACGGTCATTATGATTGTTCTGTTAGTAGCACTCGTAAAATTAATATGTTCATTTACATCTATATTTCTTTCGGTCTGTCTTTCTGCCTTAAGTTTTTGTATATTCTATGATTGCTATTTATCTGTTTTGCTATGTTGACGGCGGGAGAGTTCGGGGGGTTCAGAGCCTTAGGGTTAAGGCCAAAGGAAATAAAGGAAAGCCCCGTAAAGTATCCTCATACCCATTTTTGGCTCTTCGGCGGGCAGTTGATGCGGATTCGATAGCAAAGAAATCTGGATAATTGCCAACACTATTCCTTGGGCTTCCTTGTTGTGTTTATACTACAATAGACACCAAAAAACTGTTTTCGGCATCATAAATTGTACGGGGCGAGGGTTAGATAGGGTTCAGGGGCAGCCCAGGCTGTAACAGCGGAAGGTGTGGAGCGACGACCGCCGGGTTTTGGGGGAACTAGACTCTAGACTCAGCGATATGACTTTGCCAGGAGTTCAGCAATGTTCAGCAGCAACTCACCCCAAATCCTAAAAACCACTGAGCTCCTAAATGGGTGGTTGTCAAAATTGTAGTCCCTTTTTGGGTCCCTATTATAGTACGGCACCAAATATTCAGGGTACCCAAAAAGGGGGCCTAATTTTGACAACCACCCAAATGTAGAAACTTCAGGCTTTGTCGGAAGCTGCGGGTCTAAGCACTACATTTGAGGCTCGCACCCCCGCGAAGTCTGCCTAAGCTCTTATCGGTAAAGCTTGGAGCCCATGTCGCACGTCCCCGGCCAGAGAGCCCACCACACCTTCGTTAAGGAGTTTATTGCTTATATGTTAATACGAAGCCCTACAAAACTCCTGCGATTTTTCGTGATCGAGGAGGTTTCGTTTGATAAACTACAGCAGGAGCATGTATTATATACATATATACAAATATATACCAACGTATATATGTATATATATATATATATATAAATACACATACATTCCTGCGTGTAGATATATAAGTGAATGTATATGTATTCCATAACCTAGAGGAAACGCGGGCTCTCTGGATCTAGGCTGGCTGAGCTGCTGCTTGCAGATGTGAACAGGCACGCGCGGGGTGTGTGTGTAATCACTGCACAATCAGCAATACTAGTTTTCGCAGGGCTCCCTGGAAAAATTGTAGTATCTCATGCCTGAATGCTTGTTCTAATCATCGTTCAAGGGCGGGGGGTTTTCGGATCTAGTTCCAAAGGTTTATGTGGCCCAGGGCTTCGGCATGGATCTACACCGGCCGTGTTTTGTTGGCCCGCCGGGCTTGCAAGCTAGGCCGGGAGGCCAGTGAGACAGGGGCCAGGAGCAATCATTTCCTGGAGTTTTTCTCAGGGTTCGACTTGAGGAAGGTTTCATCTATAGCGGCCTCATTGAGCCATAATACCCCAGAGGTGTATTGTTTTAATCGTTAAGGCCCCTGCATGATATTTTGGGATGCTTATTTCTTAGCCATGCCCCGAAGACTTCGAGCATGGCAGCACTACCTCCTTTGAGGTCCTACAGTCTATGAGTACCCTACCTTGGGCTATTGGGAGTCTTAGGATACCAAGCAGCCTGAACCACAAATCGTAAACCCTAAACTTTGAACCCTAAATTGTGTCGTAAACCCTAAAACCGGCAACCATGCAGGCTGGGCATCGAGAGAGCGAAAGCTCTCCGCGACTTCGCGGCCACAGTCCTTGAGGCGACATGTTCTTATCCATTTCCCGTCAGAGTCCCTAGAACATGCTGCTATAATACCCCACTCCCACAGTAGAAGTTTCTACAGTTGTGAAGACCTCTTGATCAGGGTTTGGAGATTTTCTGCAGGGGATGGATTGGTTGCCTGAGTTGAGAGCAGCAGCCCTCAAGCACTGTTTAGAGTTTCAGCATTTGGCTTAATTTAGGGTTTCTACTAGCGGTAGACAGTGCAGCCCAACGAGAGCTGAAGCAAGGCTAGGAACATCAAGTCCGAGGTTGCCGTGCAGACTTTGACGACATCGGCTCCACGCATCAACAGTAAATCCTGGGTACTGTGCCGATTTTCGAAGCCTTGGAAGAAGCTGAAAAGCTTTGCAATGGCTCTCAGAGATAGGCTGAATGACTCTACAAAAATTTCAACATCCGAACCCCACCTGATTGTTGAGAAGCCACTATCCAGCCTCCGCCCACAGGAGCCGAAGGAGGTGGGTGTGGGGCGATTTGTTTTCTTGGGAAGGTTGATTTTAGAGCCACCTGAAAGCTTCTCAGGGCCGCTGTGCCGTCTTTGCGGTGGATCATTCGGACTTTGGATCTTTCTTTGGGAGCTGGACGCTATTCTCAAAGTGCACACCGCTGCTTTGACGCCATGCCGACCGTTCACGGCACACGCCTGCTCTGTAGCGATTCACCACGGCACCTTCGTTTACCTGTGCTCCAGGCCCTTCATTGAAACCGGGAAGCAGTAACGGCATGTCCAGGCAACAAGGGTGAACTCGGTCCGAAAGCCTCCTGGCCTGCAGCGGGTTTCGAAAACGACTCCCTCAGCCGGTAAAACCGAGGATCTCCTTAAACCTGAGCTGGGAGTTTCCGAAAATTAGGGGTACCTTATTTGGGGGTCCTTATAATAAGGTTCCTACTATTTAAGGTACTATATTAGGATCCCCTATTTTCGGAAACTCCCAGCTGGCTTTACAACAAGGTCCAAACGAAATTATTGTCCTAAGCCCCACACCGAAACCCCGAAACCCGAACCGGCAGTCCATCTCTTTAGAAGGGGTGCGTGTATAGGTTTAGCAAGAGAGTGATTCCAACACACACACGCACCACTTAAACAGGACACCTCCCCCAAAACAGAGAGAGACCCACAAGCAGGTCGAAGAGGATTGGGAGTTGGTGTCGGATGTGTCGGTCGCTTCTCGGCTTAGGGTGTGGAATTCAAGTTTCGATGATCCAGGGTTTAGGAGATGTGCGAATCCTCACTTTTGACCTGAACCCTCTTAGAAACCCAAGGATCCAGGTTTTCGGTTTACGGGGTTGTTGGTCGACTTCGCTTTCAAGTTTTCGGCATGGTGGCGAATGTAGGGACCTGAGAGCAGTTCGCAATGCTTTTCTGGAGAGTACCTTATGATAGATCCTTTCTAGTAATCCACCCCTTTACAGCAGAAGCCAGAAAGTTGGAACATCATTAGCCAGAAAGTTGGAATATCATTATCGTAACCCCAAGGTAAATTATAGGGGATCCTACCCTGAAACCATATTCCACCTTTCTGGAGTTCCCTTTAAAGGAACCCTACACCGGCCAAGAGGCCCTAGGGCTCCCGGATTTTCATTCCTAGTGACAGTGGAACATCACCCAGACGTTATAGTCTGCTAATCACGGCCACGGTATTAAGCCGGCCCTAGTTCCCCAGCCAAGCGATTGGGAAATGAGACATGTAAGCATTTGTAACAACCCAAAACTAGTTTAATGATGAACGCTCCTGCATCGCATCCTCCTTTCGCTCCTCAGGAGACGTTTGCAGGTGATTCCGGAAGCTCTCAGCCGTGGCTGGCCACGCAGCTCGCCCTGACACCGTTGGAGAGTTACAGGTTTCGGGTTCAGGACGCAGTTGTTTGGGGGTGGCCTGTTCGGGACGGCATGTGCATTGCATAGATAAGGCGCTCAACAGACTTAAACCTGAGTGGCTTAACATAGGACGATGTCAAATCTTTATCATCAGGAATCAGGACCCGTAAATACGGTACCCAGTTGCAGCCACCGCCCGCAACTTCTGCATTGAACCCGCCCCGAAAGTACAAAGCGAGGGACAAGATTCTGAAACCCTCAACCCACCGTAAGCCCTAAACCGGTGTCACATCGGAAACCCAAAGCCCTCGATCTTCGAAGTCGCAAGTCAGGGTGCGATCGCTGCTGCTTGCACAAAGTCGCACGCCAGGCGTCTCGTCAGCAAGACATGCTGCAAGCAACATCCCGCTTTTCTCCGATCAAGCTTGCACCCCAGACCCTGGTCCGCAGGGCTTACGTCGTAAAGGACTTCAAGATGTTGGGGTCTGGCTTGGGTTTCACTGCTCGGACCTAGGAACACCTTCAGTTTTCTTATGCCAGTTCATGAAACCTTCCTTGCAACAAAAGCATCGCAATGGAGACAGCATCATGAGCATCAGCTGCGCAAGCTTTGGGCCAACGTGGGCAATGAAGGCCGCATCACGAGCATCAGGTGCGCAACCTCTGGCCCAGACGCCACAATGGAGACAGCATCATGAGCATCGGCTGCGCAACCTCTGGGCCAACATGGGCAATGGTGGCAGCATCACGAGCACCGTGCCAGAATGGAGACAGCATCATGAGCATCAGCTGTACAAGCTCCGGGCCAACATGGGCAATGAAGGCAGCATCATGAGCATCAGCTGCGCAACCTCTGGCCCAGACGCCACAATGGAGGCAGCATCATGAGCATCTGCTGCGCAAGCTCCGGGCCAACATGGGCAATGAAGGCAGCATCATGAGCATCAGCTGCGCAACCTCTGGCCAAGGCGCCACAATGGAGACAGCATCATGAGCATCAGCCGCGCAACCTCTGGCCAAGGCGCCGCAAGGGAGACAACATCAAGAGCATCATGTGACTGCAAATGGAAGATCCCTCACAGCTACAGACCTGCTGTGGAAGCAGTGTTTAGGTTTGTGGCCAGAGCCCCAAAACAACCGAATGTCGTCTTGAGCTTTATCGAGTTCCACGGAGAAGGTTTCGGGTGCCGAAATGCAATTGTGGCGCCTTGGCCAGAGCTTGCGAAGCTGATGCTGATGATGCTGACTCCATCGTCCCAAGTTGGGCCAGCGCTTGTCCAGCTGATGCTGATGATGCTGCTTCCACGGCCCGTGTTGATGCTCATGATGCCGCGACCATTGCCTGAGTTGGCCCCGAGCCTGTGCAGCTGATGCTCATGGTGCTGCTTGCATTGTGGCGACCTGGCCCAGCGGATGCTGATGATGCTGCCTCCATTGTCACGAGTTGGTTCATAACTACCAAGGAGGTTGATGCTGATGATGCTTCCCCAATTGTCCAGTGTTACGCTGCAGGGCTTTGCGCAGTTGTTGCTGGTGATGCGAGTTGGTTCAGAGCTTGCGAGGCTGATGCTCGTGATTCGCTGCCTCAGTGGCCCTGTGCGGAAGTCGTGCTTATGATGCTGCCTGGATTGCTTGCCATGGCTCGCGCAGTGAATGCAGGCTGGATGAATTCTCCCGAGTTTCGCAGGGGCTTATGCAACTGATGCTGGTGATGCTGCCCCAATCGTCCCATGTCAAGGTTGCGAGGCTGACACTGATGATGCTGCCTAACTTGTCCAAGGAACTGGTGCATGATGCTGTCTGGATTGCATGCCATGGCACGCAACTAAAGCTGGCTGGTCCTAAGTTTGGCCGGGGCTTGTGCAGCTGATGCTGCCTCAATTGCCCTGTGTGTTACAGGTGCTGATGATGCTGCCTGAATCGCTTGCCACGGCTCCCACATGGGAGTTTCCGAAATTTGGGGGTACTTTACTTGGGGTCCCTATAATAAGGAACCTACCATTTAGGGTACCATATCAGGGTCCCCTATTTTCGGAAACTCCCACATGCTGTTGCTGTCTAGACTGCCCTGGGCCATGGCTCGCTGGGTGTGTTTTGGGCAGGGGCTTGCGCAGCTGAGGCCGATGATAATCATGCCTGGGTCTAGAGTCTAGCGGCTGCCCGGTGGTTTGATTGAGGTGCAATCTCCAGAGTACCTAGCATTCTGAATTCTCTTCCAATGAAGCAGAACCTGAATGAAGCCCAAAGCCTCCGTCCATTGACCCTAGCCCACACACTAAATCCAGCCCGAATCCTGAACCGTGCAGTCGGAAGGCCTCTCTTTAAGCCCTAGTGCAGGGGCTTAATTTTTTCACCAATACTATTTAGGGGCTCCCAGCAAAATCGGGCAGCGCTCGGTTCCCGCATCCTGTGTGTTCAAGGCTTAGCCGAGTTATACTTGTAGCCATTCTAGCTATGCGTTTCCAAAAAGCCACGAAGGCTTCTACCCGCGCTGCCCGCCCGTGGGCGCAGCCCCTAGAATACCCCCCCGAAAGCCTCGTTCTAGCTATGAAGGCCTCAATATTACACCTTACACCTTCTATGACTAAATCCTTCATCCTTACATCCTACATCCTAAAGGATTTTCTTCACAGCAAGAACCTATATCCACCGTCCCGGGCCCCACGCTTGGAACCCCGTCGAGCCAGGTGGGGCCTTTTTCGAAGCTCAGGCGCGGGCGATTAACGGAGCCCGACCTTCTAAAGCACGTCCATTGGGAACACCCCATAATAGGCATACATCTACTATTTTATATAGTACAGATACATGCGATATATATATATATATATGTGCATATAAATGTGTCTATCTGTAGATATTATATGTACATACAAAGGTTTGTGTGTCCTGCCTGCATGCCAGGCTGTGTGTCCGTCCGTTTGTTCGTCTGTCCGTCCGTCCGACTGTTTGTCTGTCTGTCTGTCTGTCTGCATGTATGCCCGTGCATACATACATACATACATATATCATATCTAAATGCGTCTACACATATGCCTACATATTCGTCAGTGTGTGTGTGTGTGTGCGTGTGCATGCGTATACATCTTCTCACACGTCCTCATGTGCTGCACGTATCTTGGAATCGTGTTGGCATACGTCTATCCCAAACACGATTAGCATGCGATCCGACTAAAGAGTTGCAATGTTCCCAATTTCGCGGGGCTTGCTTGTGGACTTACAGGGTCTTGAGGCAGCATTTCAGGGTTTGTGCACGGCCACATGACTGGTGGATCTTAAGGGTTCAGCATGAACCAGCAGCATGACGACTGAGAACCCTACCAGGCTCAGGCTTGCTTCAGTGAAGCGATAGCTTTCCGGTGAAAGTAGGAGTCGGAATAAGTACCAATATGGTTCGTGTTTTTGACTACTCGTGCTTCAGTTGCGCCTGGCTTTGTTCGTGCAGAAAATGTTTCCATGGACGCGGTTTCAAAACAGAGTGTTCCAGCGATGCTGCAGGTGACCGTGATCGACCGCTTACTGTGCCTCGGAAAGTCAAGCTGTGGTAGTGTAGAATCCTCATGAAAGAAACCCCCTCCCTTGAAAAGGATCGTACGGAGTCCTTCAATAAGGACTACATTGAGCCCCTTTCTCCGGACTTCAAAATCAAGAAGCCCCATTGTTAAGGAAAAGACAACAGAAGCCGAATGCTGTGGCTTGCTTGCGGCCCTGCTACTGGAACCTAGCCTGTGGATCCCCAAAACCGGCAAGAGCATCAGTAATTGGGTCTCGTCGACGCAGCAGACGGACATCTGGGTTAGAGTTTTTCGTGTTTAGCGCATAGGACTGTCATGACAAGTCTTCTGGTGAGACTAAGCTTGATCATGGCGATTTCCAACTAAGGGAGTCTGGCGCTTCGTAGTTTTGGTTAAAGGCTATAGGGCTTCAGGGATAGACAGGTCTGAAGCCAAAAGAGATCCAGAACACTCAATTTCCGCCCCCAAAGCGCTAGACCGCGGACCTTGACTTGTGGCCTCAAGCAGCTGAGATTCCCACCGAGAACATGTGAGGTCGTTTTATCTTGAAGACCCTGAGGCTCGGCCCCGAAACCATGCGAAAGACCTCGCGCACTGTGGCAAGGTTTTTTGTAAGCTGCCCGGCCAAGGGAGTTGCCACCCCCTTTGGTGGAGACACCTCCCTCGCGGTGGTCTCCCATCTGCTGCTTGTCTGCGACATGCATCTGCATTGTCCTGTTTGTGTTTCCGGGATTTGATGAAGGTGTTTCCACATTGGCCATGCAGTATTGCAGATTTGGTGAGACCGGGTATTGCCTTCGCCTTGCCTTGGGATGAACTGGACAACCTTCGTATGAGAATTGCGGTCCTTTTTTTCGGGAGCTCAAGGCGTGGTATAACTGAACAGGTTCCTGTAGTGCTATACCCTAAGGTTGCCCGCAGGAGTTGGAGAGTTTGGGAGTCTGACGGTATTACGAAGTCAGGCCTGAACCTTAGCAAGACCCGGACCTGTACACGCTAACGGGGAGGACGATGAGTCCTCAGCAAAAGCCAAAAAACACCCGGAGTCTGAATTGGCAAGCGCTGAAATCTCATATGATCCTGAGATACGATATTCCTACATCCTTGCATACCCAAGATCCGAAACCCTACAGAAACACTAAAGCCCATCAGGAGACCCTTAAAACCCTGGGAGTCAAGTAGGTAACATGTAGCCTTTTTTGGGTAGTATAGCCCTTACAAAACTCCTATATAACCAAAAATAGGTTAACCTTTAGTTCCCCATGATACCCGACAAGTAGGAAACTTACACCCTAAACCCTAAACTGTCCCAGTGTGAGCGCCGAAACCCTTTTTCCTTAAACCCTAAACCCTTTTTCCCTAAACCCTAGGCTTCCTGGACTCTCTCCCTGTGAAGTGTCCTGTCCGTGAACCCTTTGGCCGGTCATTCGTGGCACTAACTTGTGTTGAGCTGTCTTTCTGAGTGCCATTGGGAACACGCTGTAGAAATCCGACCTGCCGACCAAGAACCTCGTCTGGATGCGTCCGAGTTGCGAGAGCGTCAACCCAAAAAGGAGGCAAAAATGCCCTTAAACTCACAACCAGGCCGCGAAGATGCTGCAGTTCAATCCGATTTGGAGGCGATCGAAGCGCTCTACGGCAAGGAGCTTTCTGTTTCGCCGGCTTTCGGGCATTGCAGAGGTTGGGCTTCGGGTTGAGAGTTGTAGCTAAACAGTAGCCTGTAGAATTTGACCAGATATTGTCATAAATTAGCATATGCTGTTATTAGACAAGGGTTGACTTTTCGTAACTTGTCACGGTGAACCGCAAGCCCTACATGTAAACAGGGCTTTTGGACTGGCCTGGCTCAGAGTTCAGTGCATGCATGGTGTGCAAGGGTAGATGCATATGTGCAGATTTTTCCAAATCGGTGCGAGGCGTGCTGATAGGGCTCCGGGCTGCTTTTTGTCAGCTTTCTTATTCTTAGCTCTCATTCAGTGTTAAAACGAAGGCTGCACATCCGGGCGTGATTCCAACAAGCCTGTAGGCTTGATCCGAGCCAGACGGGACCGCTGTAGATCACCTGCCCTCTGAACTCACTCCCAAGCTTCATTTCAAAAAAGCTGCCACACAAAACCCTTGAGATACGCTCGTTCAGCCCTGCATACTCCGACAAGTCCAATTCCCGACCGCTTAAACCTCCAAGCCCGAAATATTCCAATTACACGCTTGACCTTCAGGGCCGGATGCAGAGCACAGCTCGTAATTATCATTACTATTGTTGTTATTATAACTATTATTGCTGTTACTACTACTACTACTACTACTACTACTACTACTACTACTACTACTACTACTACTACTACTACTACTACTACTACTACTACTACTACGGTTATAAAATACTATGATATTTATTATGTTTTTGACGGTTATGACTACTACTGCTATCATTATGTAGGACCAATGCATCCAAGAGCTTCAGGTCCAGTTGAAGTCGAGCGCTCGTTGACAGGGTCTATGCAGGGTGTGGGGTTTTGCTGAGGCCTCATAGTAACAGTAAAGCTTTAAGCAAAAAAACTACAAAGGACCCGTTCAAAGCCGCATGTTGAATAATCAATGCTGGTATGTTTGCTAACAAAGCTGTATTACAAACAAATAGTGGGGATGGACGATATATGGATCCACCACCTGAATACAGGCCCCATAGAAATTCTACGAAAACCCTTTACTGAAAGCCCCAAACCCTAGGCTTCGAGGAGCCTCACAGAGCCTCGACTTGAGGGGCTCTAGCTTCGGGCATCCGCTTCGTGAGGAGTCTATAGAAACTCATGCAGACCGAGTCGTGGTCGTCGTGAAGGACGGATGTCTTCTCAGCATAGTTTTGGGCTTGGGGTTTGGGGTTCAGATGTAAATTGGGGCTGAGTTCGGCTGTTCACCTGCAACATAGGGGGCCCGATGACTCCATAATCCTGCTTATTATGATCTAAGAATCTATCAATGTACTTCAAAACCCTACTGAAATTATTAAGACCCCTACATCACATATCACATGCTGACATGCAGACCCGACTGAAACTCTGGACCATGAGACCTGCCCATGCAAACCCTGAAACTTGAATCAACCCAAGCCTAAAGCCCTAATCAAGAAAAACCGGCAAGCTCTAAACCTAGACTCTCAGCCCTGTTGCAGCCGGGTGCAGCCAAACACCCTAATCCCTCAACGGTACGATCGGCCCCAAGGCCTCCGATCCCCGAGGAGTGTGTTTTAGCAGTAGCACCCTGTCCCAGCAACATATGATGCATTTTGGCAAGGCGCGTGTTTGCTTCGTTGCTCTGCAACTCTGCACTGCAGGATGTGTCAGTGGTCATCCGCTTCGACAGCACGGCCCCTCGACAGAGAATGCAGGTGGTCTTGCCTCTTCCAGAGCATTCACGAGACGAAACCGGAATATAATGTGCTTGTATGGTCGCACCTTTGACCCTGAAAAGCCCTTTAGCGCGTCTTCGCACGTTCATGTCTTCCTTGTGGATCCAACGCTACAGCATAAGTTTGCCGTCTGACCGCTTTCTCAAGTAGGTTCCGTGGAATATGAAGTCGTGGCGGAAGGAGGACTTTGCCAACCTAAGTGGCATTGCAAAGGAAAAGGACCATTCACTGCAAAAGCGCACCAAGAACACTTGCAAGTGGAGGACTTTGCCAACCTAAGTGGCATTGCAAAGGAAAAGGACCATTCACTGCAAAAGCGCACCAAGAACACTTGCAAGGCCTCTTCCCTAATGTAGGAACCTGATGAAGAAACCCTGGGCCTAGAACCCCAATATATTAGGATCCATATTAAGAACCTAAGGGCTCTTGATCAGGTTCCTACAGTACTCAAGCCGCTCCGAGGCTGGAGCCTAGTCCGAGATCCCAAAGAACCATCCTGCAGCGAAGGATGCGGATCGCATCGCTGTGCGAGCAGTTGGACCCACCGTGACGACATGTGCCTTCGAATGCATCAGGTGTAAATAAAATACATGAGCAGAACTATACATAGACATATATATATATATATATATATGTATACATGTATATGTATGTATATTATAATATAGACAATTGTCGAGGGTGCTTACCGGTATGTAGGTGCATGTGCACGAAGAGGCACACATGTCTAGTGTCTACAGGGCGATGAAAAATGTGCGTATATCTGCGCTTGTTTTCCCATGTGTTCTTGCTTCGACTTGTGTTGGGCCAAGGATGCCACGACAGCATATGTCTCTTTGCAGATGGCCGCATGATCCTAACGACACCACTACTGGCAGCTAATTTAAAGCCATTCAGCCATGTTTTTCACCCCAGTGTATTTGTGCAATGGTGCGACTCCGGGAGCTTACAGGCTTACAGTATCATGTCTCCGGAACTCTGGACGTAACTCGATAAGCACCTACTCTTGAACCCCCTATCCGAAGCCAAGCTCGGCTTGGGCTTTGTGCCAAGGGGATGAGGCGGTGGCGAAGGCATGCTTCGCGACGTTGCAGAGGCCGAGGGTAGGGTGTCGCCAGTTGCCAGTACCAGATTGACGTTGTTAATGGGTTGTTGGATTACGGAATAGATTGAATAGATGATTCTTAAGTAGCTGGAAGATAGGCGACATGATGACCCAAGCGTCGGATTTCGCAGATGAGGGCTTGTTTTGGCCTGTTGTCTTGATGTCAGAGGTCAAGCTCCAGTGAAGTAGATCCTAAACCCAAACCCGCGAACCAAGAGACCCCATCTGGCGGAGTCCGAGTTGCGAGAGCGTAAACCCCAAAGCCAGCTTCAGGATTTCAGGGCTGCAAGCAAGGCCCGGGGAAGCGTTTGGAGGGGAGACCTCAATGAGGGGCCTGAGGGATTCCCAGCTTGAATGCCCCTCACTCTGCAACATCATGTGGCGTTCTCTTCAGGACTTCTTCCCTAGTGATTCTTGTGATTTAGCCTGTAATAAATACGAGGCGAAGAAGCCACCCACCCGGGTGTTTTGGTGGCCAGTCCAGTGCCGCCAGCTTCCCTGTCTGCTTCTGAGGTTCCGATGCGGAAGTCTAGGCGCTCTGGAGGTGCGCCGGTGGGGTGCATCTAGAGCATTTGGGGTTTATGCTCTATCTCGGCTTGGGGGTCGTCAAGACTTGGATCCCAAGTGGAGAGCTTGAAAGCTTTTTTTCTAGATGCCCCCTGGTGGCTCAAGTTCCAACATGTTTGCATGAGAAGCAGCTCCCCAAGAAAGTCATGTAAGAACAAAAACTAAAGCCCAAGTAAGACAAGCCCCCCCTCAAAGCCCCCGAGCTGCCCGATGGTTTCGGAAGGTGCGCCCTCGCAAGTTTGCTAAAGGGGTAGGTATTGGGTAAGTTAGGGTATTTAATTCTGCCAGGTCAGACGTGGTCCGTGATCTTTGTCGTCATTCCCATCCAGGCATCGTCAGGAGCTGAGACAGTAAGACACCCTAACCCTAAGCCCTAAAACCCTAAACCCCTAAACCCCTAAACCCTAAACCCCTCGTTTGCGTCGTTTTGCAGCTCGGTGAGCCATGGCCCCAGCTTGCTGGGTGAGCCATGGCCCGAGCCTGCCGAGTGAGCCATTGGCCCCAGCCTTGCTGGGCGTGCCATTGGCCTCGGTTCCTGGTGTGCCATTGGCCCCTTAGCTGGGTGAGCCATTGGCCCAGGATCTTTGATTGACTTGGGTGTGCCATTGGCCCCAGCAGTGCTGGGCGAGCCATTGGCCCCGCCGGGTGGGCCATTGGCCCCAGCAGTGCTGGGTGAGCCATTGGCCCCGGTCCGCCGCGTGAGCCATTGGCCCCAGCAGTGCTGGGTGAGCCATTGGCCCGGTGCGCCGGGTGCGCCATTGGCCCCAGTTCTGCTGGGTGAGCCGATGGCCCCGTGCTGCCGTGCCGTTGGCCCCAGCTTTGCTGGGCGAGCCATTGGCGCTGGTTGGGTGTGCCATTGGCCCCAGCTTTGCTGGGTGAGCCATTGGCCCCGCTGTTGGGTGTGCCATCGGCCCCAGCTTTGCTGGGTGTGCCGATGGCCCCAACCAGTGCTCGGGTGTGCCACTGGCCCCAGCTTTGCTGGGTGAGCCATTGGCCCCGGTGTTGGGTGTGCCATCGGCCCCAGCTTTGCTGGGTGAGCCGATGGCCCCAACCACTGCTCGGGTGTGCCACTGGCCCCAGCTTTGCTGGGTGAGCCCTTGGCCCCGTGCGTCAGCCATTGGCCCCAACTTTTCTGGGTGAGCCATTGGCCCCGGTCCGCCGGGTGAGCCATTGGCCCCAGCAGTGCTGGGTGAGCCCTTGGCCCCGGGTTGCTGGGTGTAGCCACTGGCCCCATCGGGTGTGCCATTGGCCCCAGCTGTTCTGGGCACTGTCGGGTGAGCCATTGGCCCAGCTTTGCTGGTGAGCCATTGGCCCCGCCTTAACCCTAAGCCCAACCCCAAACCCTAACCCCTAGACCTTGAACCACTAAAACCCTAAGTGGTAGTCAGACTCATTCTCGCATAATTTCAATTTAAATTCGCGAAGGTCAGACAACATCGCTGGTCTCCTCGACGATGTGATGGCGCCGTGGAGGTGGAGGCTGGCGTTTGCACGCACCTTTCGGCCTGTGCTGTTTGATTGACTTGCTTGCAAGCTCCTTTGACCGTCTTGACTGCAGGCAGTTCGGACCATCAGCTAGTCAGTCTCAGTGTAAGACATCGGCGATGATTAGATTTCAGATTATGATTCTGATCATTGATATTCAGGAGTTTCAATCGGTATTTCATGACTCGTCTGACTGCGTGTGGGTTTGAGTGAGTCCTCTAGCTGTGGTCAGACAGATTTTTGGCCATGGTGCGCCAGCGCAAGCCCGAGCTCAAAGGGATGCCGCACTTCAACACCAAGCGTCAGACTACGAGGAATCAGCCACTCCCCCCGGTGCCTGAGGAGGAGGGCGCTCGTAAGACGACAGAAGAGCCGACGGGCGCTGAGCCGAAGGACGGCATTGGTCAGACGCCGGTGACGAAGATGACGACAAGGTCACCGTCGAGGTCAAGGAGCCCCAGTCAGACGAATTACACTCCGACTGAGCCGGCTATGACGCCAACCTCGCCGGTGTCGTCACCGTTCGAGGAAAACCCCAGAGAGCGTCTGACAGTGATCGAGCCACGTCTGACGTTCAAGGCCGCGGCAAAGTCAGAGAGCGTGGCATCGGGATCGAAGGCAGCGGCGTCAGATCCAAAGGCCAGGGGCATTCATGCGGACCTGGTGTCAGACTCACCAGGACCAACGCCAACCCCGCCAAAGGCCAAGCCGATGACGTCAGACCACAAGGTCCAGGCCCCGGGTCCGAACAAGAAGCAGAACAGACGGTGGAAGGTCAAGACGACGTCAGAGATCGGGGCGGACCGGGAGTGGCAGTCGTGGCAATCCTCATCGTCGGACTGGTCCTGGTCGTCGTCGTCCTGGTGGAGGTCGTCAGACTGGTCATCGGCGTCGGCCTGGTCTTGGTCAGACTGCGCGCAAAGGGAGCCAAGGGAGCAGCCGAGGCAGCAAGAAGACGCCGCACAAGTGTCAGACGCCCTGGCTCCTAGGCTTGAATTTTCAATTCAGTTTAGTTTGGTATGAAATTGTCAATCAGCGTGATCATAAATTAAGTTGATTAACAGATTATTATTTTTATTAAACTTCTTATAAACAGTGTTATGGTTTAATCTGTTGCTTTGAATTAATTATTCAGTTTGGTTTTAGAAACCAGTACGTTTGTCAGTCAGCGTGGTTATTTGTTTCGTCATGCTCGGCCAATCTAAGGCACGGCTTGCCGACAAATATTTGCAGGTGGTCGAGGAGAAGCAGGTGGTGTCAGACAAGTTGGGCGTTTCTCTCGCGATGACCCATCTGGCCCAGAGCCGCTGTGCTGGTAACATGTCAGAGCAGCAGTACAACACCCTGGTTGGCGAGTACTTGTCGGGTCAGGCTGGGATCCACAGTCCAAATATAGATTATTATCATAATTTATAATATATTATAGGTCCGCAACGTAAGTTTTTAAGTTTGGTTTATATGAACTAGATTTAAGACTATTGCAGGACTACATAGACATTGGCATAAACTTTGGATTTTAGTTATTAACCGTTGAACTCACAAGCCTTTAACGCCATTATCCTTTAATCGTTTCCCTGTCAGAACATCGCACGGGCAAGCCCGCTGCCGCCGCCCTTGCCAAGTCAGACTCTGCCCCCGCCTCCTGGTCAGACCATGAGTTCTGGGACTCACTTGGTGACGCCGGCAAGCACGATGACCGAAGGTCAGACTCCAGCTGCTGCGTCGCCGATCATTACCCAGCCAGTTGGGACTCCAGGTCAGACGAAAGCGCAGGCGCCTTTTCCGGCGAAGGCCGCTCCTGGCCGTTCGCCTTAGTTAGACAGATGTTCACAAAGCCGTGGAATTGGGGTCGCAGTCTGACAGACAAGACTCGTCACGTCAGACACTGTTGGCAGCATTTGTCAGACAGTGAAGACGTCCCCGTCCCGTAAGATTGCAAGAGCACTTACGGTTAGACTGACGGCATTCAGACAGCAATTCAAAGTAAAATTGCCAGACCGTGACTGCGGATTGTGTGACCGAGCTGCACCTTTGCCGTGTTAGCATTGATTGTGCACGTGCAGGTTGGGGCGAGATTGTCAGACATCGCTGCCTTGGCCTTGGCATTGGTGTTGCTGCCAGAGTTCGGCGGAGTTGCTGGTGAGTGCTTGATTGATTCTCTGTGGCCCAGGTGTTTTGGTACATGCGGCACTGTCGACTGCCTGGACGAGGCAGGACATTGAGATGCATATTATTTCTCTTGCAAGTTCTTGATGTCAGAGTTTGTGTGCCAAATCCATGAAACCTGCCTGCAGTCAGATTTTCACTCAGGGCCTTTGAGCAAAGTTCAACGGCCTATTATTAATGGCGGTCCGGACCGTAGTAGTAAGATTGAAAACGTCAGTGTCACAGTGTCAGATCTTTTTAATGGCCACGTTCTCACTGCATTGCCTAAGCCAGCTAGGGCCTATCAGACAGACACTTAGTGTAGGTCAGAGCGAGTCGGACGGCCTCAGGCTGTGACCATGTGAGTCTGAGTCTTGACTAGTCAGACCGTTGGTTTCCAGCCATGACAGACATCGACACCATGACGGTGGAGTCCTTCACTGTGGAGTCAGACACAGCTAGTGTCAATAGCTACAGTGTTGTGTCGTCGGCCTGGCAAACAGTGGTGCCGGAATGTCAGACTGTGCCAGTGCAGAATCTCAGTCCAGCTGCTGAGTTTTTGGGAGGGTCTTCTGATGTTCGTCAGACTGCGACTCCAGCTTCCACACCTCTGATAGTTCCAGCTTCTGATGCAGCATATGGTCAGACTGTGACTACAGAGACGGCCGCCCCGGAGACAGCTGGTCCGGTTTCTTATGGTCCCAGCCCGGCACCGGGTTGCTGGGCAGCGACTCAGCCCATCAGAGGCGTCGCAAGGACCATAATGCCAGACGGACGACTGGACCCACCTATCGCGGAGGACGAGACCAGGTCAGACTTCAGCTTTGGCTCCGGGTCACACCTTTATCCCCACTTGAACAGCGGTGGTCAGACTCAGGATCCTTTTGTCCACCAGGGTGGCGAGCCCAAACTGTCCGTCGTGCCTGAACAGGCCCAGTTGCAGTCAGACAGCGCCGACCAGAAGTTCTACGATGGACCTAGTCAGACGGCTCCGGGTCCCAGTCAGACGGCTCCGGATCCCAGTCAGATGGCTCCGGATCCCAGTCAGACGGCTCCGGATCAGGCTCCATGGTTGCCGGGACCGAGCCAAGCAGCGCCGGGAAAAGGTCCCCCATCTCGAAGTCAGACTTCGACGACAGGGCCCGGCAAAGGATTTTTTGGCAAGGCCAGACAGCCGAAGGGCCAGCGCTACATGCCGCCAGGCCCGAAGACGGTCCTCACGACCAATGAAATGGACATGTCAGAGATCGACGTGTGGCAGCAGATCCTCAAGAAGACGTTAGACTCACGAATGGAGCCACAGGAGTCCAAGTTGATGCACGATCTCGTCGGACAATGCTTCCTGGT